GGGGAAGGAGGGAAAAGAAGAGATCTCTAAGAACTTATAAACTGCTTAGGGGTGATTTCCAGGATATATTTTTAAGTTATAAAAGTAAATATGGTACACTATCTCTTTTATAAGAAAAAAATTGAAAATAACAGAATATATATGTATTGGCTTACAATTTCAAAAAGAAAAAGAAACTAATAAAACTGATTACCTACAAAGTAAGGGATAGGGAATGGGTAACACTAACCTGGGTTACTATCTTTTTGTGTAGTTTTTTCAAAATGATAGAGTGGAAAAAGTAAAATTAAATACAAATAGAAACAAATAAACCTAGTTTATTCCAAATGAAAAGAATAACCTTTAAAACATCTGCAAATAATCCTGAACTCCACTTAGGTTTACTTCTGTGGTGGTATGAAAGCAGCAATTCCAAAGCTACCTTCTATGTTTGCAGAATTTCTTATGATCAAATATATCGTGTGATGTTTCGAGAGATGTTTTTCAGTATTAAAGACAGCTACAAATATGATATGGGCAAAGGCTAAGAAAAATCCAATAGTGTTCAATTAAACTCTGAGATATCAGTGTAAGGTCATGACTTATAGGTAAATAGATATTAATATGGATATGGATACAACTATAAGTGTGTGTGTGTGTGTGTGTGTGTGTGTGTGTGTATGCTGAAAGGTTTAAAAGCAATGACATGTCCAGGGGATTGAGCACATTAATAACTAGACCTTAGTTTCTAAATACTCTTCAATAAAAATAAGGAAGGGCTTTTTGAATAAGTGACTGATTCCAGGGCAAGGGCAGAAAAAGAACAGTATTAGTCTGTAACATTATACTGTCACAATTAAGTGCTTAAAAAAATGATGGGGATAAGTCAAAAGGACATGGGAATGACTTAAAGAAGCTCCTATTGGCCAAATCTGTGGCAAATGAACATCAAAATAAATAGAAGGAATAAATTATAATCCACTGTAGAAATGTAGCAGACATCACTTTAACAAAGTAATCAGTTAATAGCACTTGTGCCGCCGGGCATGGCTCAGTGGTTTAGCATCAACCTCGGATCCAGGAGGTCGGGGTTCGATTCCCGGTCGGGGCACATGCCTGGGTTTCGGGCTCGATCCCCAGTCGGGGGCGTGCAGGAGGCAGCCAATCGATGACTCTCTCATCATTGATGTTTCTGTCTCTCTCTCTCCCTCTCCTTCCCTCTGTCTGAAATCAATAAATATATATTTAAAAAAAAAAAAAGTTAATAGCACCAATAATGGAACCAATGTCACTGNCGGTCGGGGTTCGATTCCCGGTCGGGGCACATGCCTGGGTTGCGGGCTCGATCCCCAGTCGGGGGCGTGCAGGAGGCAGCCAATCGATGACTCTCTCATCATTGATGTTTCTGTCTCTCTCTCTCCCTCTCCTTCCCTCTGTCTGAAATCAATAAATATATATTTAAAAAAAAAAAAAGTTAATAGCACCAATAATGGAACCAATGTCACTGCGTCATGATGTAATGCACTAAGGACTTAGCATCACTTCAAAAGTATTCCTGTGCAAAATGTATAACCTGAGTCCAATCACAAAGAAATATCAAAGTCAAATTAGAGGACATTCTATAAAATAACTGACCTGTACGTCTTCAAAACTGTAAATGTTATGAAAGAGAAGGAAACACTTAAAGAAGTTTCCAGATTAAAGGAGATGAAAGAAACATGAAAACTAAATGTAATAAGTGATCATGATTGGTTCTGAAAGTACTAAAAAAGAGTGACCATAAGTAATACTAAAGGGGCAATTGAAGACACCTAAATAAGATCTATGGATTAGATAACAGTATTGAATTAATGTAATCTATCCATTGGGATCACTGTACTGAGACTGTGTAAATGAATGATTTTGTTCTTAGGAAATATCTCCTCACATATTGAAGGACAAAAGAACATGAAATATGAAACTCATTTCCAAATATGTGTGTCTGAGATGTATGTATAAATACAGAGAGAAAAACGATAGAGCAAATACAGGCAATGTTTAACAATTAGTGAATCTAGGTGAAAAGTATACAGGAATTTTTATACCATTCTTACAATGTTTTTTTCAAATTATATCAAAACAGAAACTTTCTTAAATTAAGAATATACTTTCAACTAATAAAAAAAGATGATATAAAGTATAGTAAATGGCCTTGAATTTCTCAACAGAGGACTTGCAGGCAAGAAGAAAATGGAATAATATATTCAAAGTGCAAAAAGAAAGAAACTGCCAACCAGGAACACTTTGCCCAGCAAAGCTGTCCTTCAGAAATGAAGGCAAGACTTTCCCTAGTAAATAGAAGCTAAGGGAATTCATCACCACTAAACCTGCCTGACAAAAAATGCTGATAGTTTTTCAAGTTGAAATGAAAGGGCACTAATTAGTAACATGAAAGCATTTGAAAATATACAACACACTGGTAAAAATAAGAATACAGTCAGATTCAGACTACCCTAATACTGTAACATGATGATATGTTAACTACTTAACTCTAAGATAAATGTTAAAGAACAAAGGTATTAAAATAGCTATAGCTACAACACACTGTTCATGCATACAAAGTATAAAAAGGGATAGAAGGATAGAGAGTATACAATCAAAATTAATTTGTTATCAGCAAAAAATAGACTAGAATAAAAACAGACACGGACACCAATAGAACAGAATCAAGAGCCAGGAAAAAACCCTCACATAAGCAGTCAACTAATCTTTGACAAGTGGGAAGGATAGTTTCTTCAATAAACAGTATTGGGTCTTCAATAAACAGTATTGGGAAAACTGGATAAACAAGTACAGAAGAATAAAATTGGACCCCTATCTTATACCACTCACAAAAATGAACTTGAAATGGATTAAAGACTTAAATATAAGACCTGAAATGGTAGAATTCCTAGGAAAAAAAATAGGTAAAAGCTCCTTGACATTAGTCTGGTAACAATTTTTTGTATATGACACCAAAAACATACGCAACAAAAGCAAAAATGAATGTGGGACTACATCAAACCAAAAAGCTTCTGCACAGCAAAAGAAACAGTCAACAAAATGAAAAGGCAACTTACAGAATGGGAGAAAATATTTGTAAATCATATATCTGATAAGCAGTTAATATCCACAATATATAAAGAACTCATACAACAATAGCAAAAAAAAAATCCAATTTAAAAAATACGCAGATGCACCCTTTATTTATCAAGCATAGTATTACACATTAAAGAACAACACATAAGAACCCTGTAGAATCCCAAAGGACTTTGCTAACAATGATCTTTGGAAATGAAAAAAGAAATGTTCTGAAAAATATCAACCACCAAAATTATGCTGTCAGCACTGTGTCCACAAGCATGGTCCCCACACCCCCAGGTTGGGTTCTGTTTTTTGTTTTAGGTTTTTTGTTGTTGTTGTTAATAATGTGCTGGGGGGGATGGGGGCACATTAACCAATGCACTTATGTGCATATATGCACAGCCCATGGACAGACAGTTCGGGGAAGGCCGGGGGAGGGGGCAAGAGTGGGGTGGAAGAGGTCAATAGGGGGGTAATGGGGGACATCTGTAATACTTTCAACAATAAAGATAATTTTTTTTTAAATGTGCTGGGATTTACTGAAACACAAAACACAAGAACCCCTTTGCCCTGGAATAAATGAAACAATTCAGTTTCCTGCAAAAAAAAAAAAAAAGGAAGAAGAACTAAGCAGACATTTTTCCAAATATATACAAATAGCCAATAGGTACATAAAAGGTACTTAACGTCACTAATCATCAGGTAAATGCAAATCAAAACCACAGTGAGATATCACTTCATACTCATTAGAATGGCTATAAACAAAAAGTCAAAAGATAATAAGTGTTGGGGAGGATGTGGAGAAAAGGGAACCCTCATACACTGTTGATGGGAATATAAATTGGTACAGCCACTACGAAAAGCAGTACAGTGGTTCCTCAAAAAGTTAAAAATGGAACTATCATATGATCCAGCAAGCCCACTTCTGAGGATATAGCCAAAGGAAATGAAAACGGGACCCCAAAGAGATATCTGCATTCCCATGTTGACTGCAGCATTGTTCACAATTGCCAAGATATGGAAACAACCTAAGCGTCTGTCAACAAATGAATGAATAAAGATGTGAGATGGACGGATGGATGGTTAGATAGATAGACAGATAGATATACACACACACATATAGTGAAATATTATCCAGTCATGAGAAAAAAGGAAATCCAATCATTTGTGACAATGTGAATTCACAGAAACAAAGTAGAATGGTGGTTAACAGGGGCTGGGGGTAGGGGAAATTGGGAGATAATAAAAGGATAAAGACCTCCAGTAACAAGATGAATAACTTGTAGAGAACTAATGCGCAGCATAGTGATTATAGCTAATAATGTTGTATTATACACTTCAAAGCTGCTAAGTGTCTAGATATTAAATGTTCTCACCACAAAAAAGAAATGGTAATTAATCTGTAATACTTTCAACAATAAAGATAAATTTTTAAAAGAAAATAAGTAAAAACTAACAAAATTTTAAAATATGTATTTGTTAACTAACTTTAAAATAAACCAAATGTGTATTTAAAAATAAAAATAAATAATTTTTAAAAAGAGATGGTAATTACGAGATGTGATGGAGGTATTAGATAATGCTATAGTGATCAGTTTGCATACATAAATGTATCAAATTAACAGGTTGTGCACCTTAAACTTACACAATATTACATGTCAGTGACATCTCAATAAAGCTGAAAAAAAATGTCCTTGGAGAAAAGAAAAGCGTTGTAGATATTTATGCCATATACACGTACTTCTCTGCATTCATGTTAGACCGGGAGCTTAGAGAGTTATCCAACTCATTCTCACTTTCCTCTGACTGGCTGTTAACAGTTTCTTCCTCATCATCATTTACTTCATTAAGAGCCTTCCTCAACACAAAAACAAGAAAAACAATACAAGTTGGTTATATACACACTTATCCTTCCTTTCCTTCTGTCATAACAGGAGAGAGGTCCCTCTTTGTAAGGTCCCTCCATGTGTTTTAAACCCAAACCCTCTCACCTCCTCTACCCCATCGATCGCCCCTTCTCTCACCGGCACCTTCAACCTCTCTCTGTATTGGCTTCGGCTCAGCCACATTTAAATAGGAGCAGGTCTCTCCCATCTCATCCTGACCCTATATCCCCTCCTCAAGCTACTACCTATCTTCTCTCTTTCGCCACCAAACTTCTCGGAGGAGCTGTCCCCTACTTCTCATTCGCCATCTATGCCCTGCCATTTGCTTCAGCTCTACCACTCCACTCAGACTGCTCTCTACAAGGTCAACACCAACAGGCTAGTTCCTAAATCTAATGGGGATTTTTCAGTCTTTGCCTTCCCTTAGTTCTCTGACTCATCATATATCAATAACCACTCATTTCTTCCTTCAAAATCTTCTTGACACTCTTCCTTTTAACTTCCATTATACTGTATTTTCTCCTATTCTTCTGGCTGCTCCCTCCCAGTCTCCTGTATTGGTCTTCTTTTTCTACCCCTTCCTTATATCTGATAGGACTCAAGGTCCTTCCTTTGGACCTTTTTTCTCCTTTCATCTGACTCACTTTCTGAATAACTATTTAATTTCAAAGCTGCAATTACAAGGCAAATGCTATTAATTTCCAAATCTCTATCTTCACCCAGATCTTTCTTGAGCCCTAGACATTTATATCCAACTGCCTAACTGCCTGAAAGACGTCCGTGGCAAAACATCCTACACACACATACTCAAAGTATCCAAAACTGATCATCCTCCTAAGCCTCTCCTATCATTCCTGCTCTATTAGTTAAAACCATAAACAGCATCACCATCTGCTCAGACGGTGAAGCAAGCACCTGGGAATTGTTTTTCTTTCTCATCTGTCACATCCAACCAACTACCCAATCCTGTCAGTTCTACCCCTTTTTAGTCTCTCAATCTCTCCCTCTTCTCCATCTCCTTCCCTGCTGCCCCTGCACTGGATCAGGTCCTCATCACTTCGAAGATCCCAATCTAAGTCTTCTAACCAGATCCTCTCACCAGTCTTGTCCCTCTTAATCCATCTTCCACACTACAGTCAATTTCATCATGGCTCGGTTCTCAAAATCCTTTAGTGGCTCTACTTTGACTTCCCACTTCCTTAGCCTTTCATAACCTAGCTCCTCCCTGTCTCTCTAACCTCAGCTCTTGTCATTTCCCCATCCCCACAACAGAGACCATCATTATCTGAAAGCTACCATTTTAATAAGTGCCAAAACATCAGTAGTTTTTTACCTAGGGATATAACTAATGGGTTTTGGCTATTTAAAATACATGTAACATTCTACTTAATTGCCTTTGTAAGAAAACAGTATACTTTATAAGTCCTTAATTATTCTGGACCTTGTAATCCCCTAGGATCATCCCTCTAATTGATGATTCTTCTTTTTTCATAGAAGACATAAATAACTAGGAAATTGCATTAAACAGGTACTGAGTCCCAATCATTCATAAGAAGTTTTATTTTAGTATTAAGTTCTTCAAGGGCTTTCAAAAAATGTTTACTATCTCAAAATTCTAAACATGTTGATTAATTAAGAGTTCTAATTAGATTGGTGTATAGCCAGTTAATGTTTTACTGCTATAATAGAATTTTCCCATGTAACTAGTCAATAAATGCCCAATCTCCTGGGGGCTACTTTTTAAACATACTAATACATTAGAAGAAACTAACATTTAATGAAGAACTACTACCTGGTATTATGCTAGGCAATTTATATAACACATCTCAGCAGATCCTCACGACCACCATAGCAGGTATGTTCTCTTCTCGTTTAACAAAAATCACTCTGAGCCAACTCAGATACCTTAAGAAATCAACTCAAGATCAAATACCTAGTAAATATCAGAATATGAATGCAGATCCACCTGACTCCAAAGTAGAAGTGGAAAGACTCCTTCTGTTTCCATACTGGCAGATGGTGGGAGCAGCCTTATGGAGCCAGGCAGCCTAGATTTGAATATCATCTGACACTAACTAGCTATATGATCCTGCGCAAGTCACTTAAATTTTCTGAGTCTCATTTTTTATCTGCTAAATGAGGATAATAGTGCCTATCTCCTAGGTAAGTACTCAATATGTGTCAGTTATTATCCAGTCATATCTTGTTTAGTACAAACACTACTCACAGAAAGTGCAATATGATTAAGAAGAATTCTAGCAACCACAACTTCGTATCTGTTGATATTTAAGTGTTTGAAATGTTTACCACAATGCCTATATCACCTTAAACTTAATTTCAGCGTGAGCATTTTGGCTGTAAGCAGAGCACATTACCTGAGGTTCCAAGACAGATTCACCGAGGACGGCCTGGGTCACTGGGTCTTGATTTACCACAATGGGACCTTGAGAGGAATCAGGAGCCACTGTTACATTCGGAAACCCTGCAGAAGGAAAATGTCATCATGATTTTGTTTCATTTCATTAAAGTGATTTTGCAAGCACTATACACTGCCATAAGTTTGTACCATCACATGAAAATCTTTAATGATAATAACAGCTCACACTTATACAGTACTTACTACATGCCAGGCACAGTTCCAAATGCTTTTACATATATTAAGTTATTTACCCTGACAAAATCCTATGATGTTGTTATACTATTATTATTTTACAGNTAAATGCTTTTACATATATTATTTACCCTGACAAAATCCTATGATGTTGTTATACTATTATTATTTTACAGATCAGTAAACTGAAACTCAGAGACCTGAAGCAACTGGCCCAGAGTCGCACTGATAAGTAGCTAAGCCAGGATTCACACCTTAAGCTAAAAAACTAATGGTCTCTTTTTAGGGATTAAAATAATGGATTATATATACATTATGAACAATATTGTGTATCTGAGAAGGAGGGAAGTTCCTTTTGGAGAAAAATTTAAGTTGCTTTAGATTTCAAATTATGCTTTACTCAATAAACAGATACTTCAATCATATGGTAATTTAATATTAATAAACTAATAATCAAGTCATATTTTAAATTATAAAATCTTATACACTGCACCATAAAATATTTTATTTATTTTTATTTTTTTATTTTTTAAATATATCTTTATTGGTTTCAGAGAGAGGAAGGGAGAGGGAGAGAGAGAGAGAGAGATAGAAACACCAATGATGAGAGAGTCATTGGTTGAGCCCACAACCCGGGCATGTGCCCTGACCGGGAATCGAACCCCGATCGCCTGGATCCTAGGTCGAAGCTCAACCGCTGAGTCACGCCTGGCCAGGCATAAAATATTTTAGTAGATAATAACACTTTACCTTTCCTTAACTGAGTAACCTGTAATAGTTAAGACTCTCAGTGTAAAGCGAACAAATTATAATGAACGTATGCCCAACAACGCTCATGCGCTATCTGCTCTAGAATACTTATGATATAAACAATATAATGCCTGGAAAAATACTTTAAATTCTTCCAAATAGCTATCTGTGGCTATGGTTAATAAGAAAAAGGAGCTTTTGTTTGAAATGAACACTTTACCTGTGCGCCTACGAGGAAAATCAACAAAGAGATCTTTGGCTGCAGCCATCAAATGATCAGATTTTTCCAATGCATCCTGCATCTGGTATTGATCAGAAAGAATCTACACATGTGTTAATAATAAATATTATTATTCAGAAAAAATATATATACTTATCAAATCACAAAGGGGAAGGCCATATAAAGGCATGAAGCATAAAAATGACCACAGGTCACTACCTTACTAAAATCTTCCAGTGGCACTATCCTTAAGTACCAGTAGATGGGGCTACTGCAATAATTAGTGGATTTCAAATGCTTGGCTGAAATCCTGAGAAATACACTATTAAACTGTAACCCAATACGCACACATCAATGTAAATGTAAATATATAACAAAAGTTTTATTAAACCTTAGTCTTTGGAAACCAATTTGATATTTTCTTTGTAGTCTCTGTTCTAACTTTTTTAAATGATGGTTATAATCCACTAATTTGATTTCATAATCTATTAACAAGTTGTAATCCACAGTTTGAAATCTTTGAGCCATAATCTTAAAGGTGTGAATCTCTGAGCCATAAACTCAGAGGTTCAACCAATAACATGATTTCAAAACCCATAACTTAAAAAACATGATGTAAAATATGAGTTTTGAAGCATTAAACAAATATGTCCTTCTTTCTCTATTTTAACAATTCAGGTTTTCATCCTGGAGAGGTGAGAACTTTAAAAATATCATTAAAGTAATGCCTCTAATTATGCACTTTCCACATAATTATAAGCGAGGACACAGGCTAGAGTAAAAGCAAGTCAACTTGACCCATAACCATTAGAGGGCATTCTTAAGTTAAAAGGAGTGTCAAAATTGGAAACTGTCCAGTTTCCAACACTGGCTCAAATCAATAGGACTCTAGTAAAAAATGCTCTTACTGGAATTTCTCTAGACCATGAACACAAGTATATACTATGACCTCAGTTACTATTTGAGGACACAGAGAAAAATAACACAAGAGACATTCTTTCTTTTTTCCCTTCTTCCCTTGCTATGGCCAAGCAGGTCGGCTGGCTCAGTTGGTGAAAACAAAGTACTGAATTTGTTCTTTCCACAAGAGTAAGCCTTGCAATGGTATAAGACAAACAGCATATTTTGAACCAGGAGACTGGGACCCTGGTCAAAAGATACTAAGCAAAAGCTGACCTCTTTAACCTTAGTTTCTTGATGTGTCAATGAAGATATTGAGGCAGGATAGTAAGAAGCGAGGAAAATTCCTGGGCAAGTGCAACGAGGAAACTGAGACAAGATAATTAAACAAGGCCAAACAATTTGAACAACTTACAGCCAGGTAGTGAATCCCAAACTCTTATCTTCCCTAACCAAGGACATCTGAAAGCAAATGGTTTATACTTCTCCTCCCTAACCAGAGAATAAATCACCCTGGGCAGGGAGATAGAGGACAGAGACCCAATTAATGTGATTTGTGCCAGTCAAGCCCAAGGATGCATGAAGTCAGGGGAACAAATAACAAAAACCCCATTAAAGCCAGACAGACCTAAGATAAAAGTAAAACAGTGAAGCCAACCAAAGAGTAATCCCAAATTCCCCTATACGCACATTTTTGATGCATCAATATATTAAAAATGCACCTGAAAAGACAATGAATAGTCTGCTGAAACCCTCCCCTAAGATTCTCGACCACAAAAGAGAGACAAAACCCTCACAACAAAGGATACCAGCAGGGGCTCTCTCTAGGGCCCACCCATGCCTGATCACAGGCATGAACTTTTTTTTTAATATACCTTTATTGATTTCATACAGAGGAAGAGAGAGAGAGAAAGAGAGAGAAACATCAATGATGAGAGAGTCATCATTGATCAGCTGCCTCCCACACACCCCAGACTGGGGATCGAGCTTGCAACCCGGGCATGTGCCCTGACTGGGAATCGAACCACGACCTCCTGGATCCTAGGTCGATGATCAACCGCTAAGTCAAGCCTGGCCAGGCACAGGCATGAACTTTTTACTTACTTTCTTCTAAACTCTAGGGTCCCCACAAGACTTGCAACCATGGGAGCAGCTGGCAGCGGCAGGTCGTCCTGGGCTTACCCCCTGAACCTGTCTCCAAGACCCCCTTTTTCTTTGACTTTCCAGTGAGCTAACAGCAGCCCAGCTTTGGCTCACTTCTTTCCTATAATGTTTCTAGGGAGCTAAAGCACAGCACTGCCTAGGCTCTCTCCTGTTGCATCTTCTAACCTAAGTACTGCCGTTGTTTCACTGTCCCCAGCTTTAATAAATGTTCTCTCAAAATCACCTGGACTTGTATCGTGAAATCTTTCCTGCATGAAGTCAAGAACCCACACACTACAGGCCGGCCTGAGGCAGACCTGCTCCAGGCCTGCATACCATGCTAAAAATATTTGAGAATGTGGCTACAACTTAAATTATATTATCCCATGCACTAAATTTCTATCCTTAATTAGCCATCTTGCAAGTATGTGCATTTAGAGCTTAGGAAAGGGAGTAAATGGAACATTATAATGTATCACATATACTAGAAAAATTACACAAAGAATATTTCCTAATGGCAGTTTTAAGAATTTACTATTTTTAAAAAAACATTTTGACCTCTTATTAAAACAAAGAGATATAATTGACAGAAGCAGATTGTGAAGGAATAATTTTATCATATCAAGACCTGACATCAATTATAATGAGGTCTCCAGTAAAGCCATCACCCTGCTGCCCTCTGCTAGTTCCTGCCCAGGCTCCTTGGGGCAGAAGGGCTGAGTGGCCAGGGATCAATGTACTGGCTTTCCTTTGCTCTTTCTAGATTTCTTTATCACTCTCCCTGATAAAATTCATCCTCTTGATAGGTAAACCAATCTCTGAGAGCCCATCTGTATATACAGGAGTGGGCAAAAGTAGGTTTACAGTTTTAAGTACACAAAACAGTTTATTCTTGTATTATTATTTATTAATTATTGTATTATTTTCCATATTAACAACTATAAACCTACTTTTGCCCACCTGTGTATATTACTTCCCCAGATAGGTTTGCAGATCACAAAGCCAAACTTATGAGTAGTGGTACATGTCTTGCATTTTCAAAGGATCAGTCAAGATCCCTTCAAAAACATTATCAGAAACCTCTCATCCTAGCACTTTTGTTCTCTGGTAATAAAAAACAGACGGAATTGGGAAATTACAAAGAGGCTTGGGAATTTCTTATACCTTTGGAATTTATAAAGTCTCTATCAAAGCCTCCCTCCCTCTGATTTGGATTTGAAACATTATCTTCTTGATTCCCATGACATGAGTGTATCACACAGAGAATGAATCTAAGACTATATTGGCCAAAGAGCTTTTCTCTGAATTTAAATTAATCTAGGAGCCCAGCTTCTAGAGGATGGGTCCTGGTAGCTCTAATACATAATGATTAAGCCTTGTGGACATGCCCACGGAGGCTTCTTCCTTTGGTCCCATCACATCCCATAACAGAGACGTTACAAACTTGACACTGAAATAATGGATGAGCATATCTTTTGACCCAGCAATTCTATTTTTAAGAATTTATGAACCCAAAAACATATTCAAGGATATTCATTATATTATTTATACTGGCAAGACTGGAAACAATCTACAGGTGGTAGGCATTGCTACTTATGTATTAATATTCTTTCTTTCCATTTTCCCTTTAATGGCAGAACTCCCAAGTTTTAGCTTAGTACATAGCTAGATTTCCCAATCATTCTTGTAGGTGGGAATGATCATGTGATGAATTTCTGGCCAATGGTGTATAAGCCAGAACTTCTGGCTAGTATGTGAAAGGAGTAGCATGCACCCTCTTTCCTGCTTCCTACTGGCTGAGATACAGCTGAAGGAAACTCGAACAGCCACTCTGTACTCAGAGATGGAAGTCATGAGATGAAGGACATGTAAAATGCAGGCAGAGCCCCCTCCCAAACCACCATTCACCTCTGAATAGTTTAATGAGAGAAACAGATTTCTATTTTGTTTAAACCACTCTATTTTTGGGTCTTTTGTTTTTCCAGAAGCTTAAAATAAGTATACTCTAACACACAACCTAAATTTCCACCAATAAAGCACTGGGTAAATAAATTGTGGTACATCTGTATACTAGCTGGCCATGAAAAACAAAAGGTAGATTTCTCAGTACCGACACGGAATAACCTCCAAGGCATAATACCTAAATCCCACTAACTGCAGAAGTTCTCAACCCTTGCAACATATTAAAATTATACAGGAACTGTCTAAAAAATACCTACATGGTATTATAATATCTGAGTATAGATATATCTGGGTCCAGATATAGTTATTTTTTAAATGGAAGTTCTCAACCCTGACTGCTTCTAATGTGAGTCAGGGTTGAGAAACACCAGACTAGAGCCTGAGGACACAGCACTACAGAAAGAGGCAGAGAAACTTCACTCATCCTCTCTCACCATTCTTCTTTCAACCCCTACTTCTACCACATCTATAGGGTGTCCCAACAAATGTATACACACACTTTAAATAATTATAAAGGCAATGTTTATTAAAATACATTTCATTTTCAAAATTGAGCTATCAGCTGTTAAAGTGTATATACATTTTTTGGGACGCCCTGTATTAAAAAAAAAGAAAATAAATTCAGGAAATAAGCAGGAGCAACTATGGAGGAGAAACAAAAGCCTAGAGTCACCGCAAAGGGGCTGCCCTTTTTCCTGGCCCAATGTGTGTCCTTAGGCCTCTCACTTAGAACTACCACACAACATTTAAATGTACATGACCTGTCTAACATCACCAAAAGATACAAACTCATGTAAGAATTTACTTGGGAGATATAATTCTTCCTGATGATTTATAAAATCAAGACTTTCATATTTTGCNATGTACATGACCTGTCTAACATCACCAAAAGATACTTAGAAACCAGTCTGTCTTAACCTACTGTTCTTTTTACAAACTCATGTAAGAATTTACTTGGGAGATATAATTCTTCCTGATGATTTATAAAATCAATACTTTCATATTTTGCTAAGAAGCCTAATGAATGAATTCCTCAAAAGACAGAGTGTGGTTTAAAGNTTTATAAAATCAAGACTTTCATATTTTGCTAAGAAGCCTAATGAATGAATTCCTCAAAAGACAGAGTGTGGTTTAAAGCTACAGTGAAAGGTCACCCAGAGAGCCAAGCGCCATAAGCTTCAACACCGAACAAGAGGCAACACTATAGACAAAGCACATTCCTTTTACAATGATTTCAGCCCAAGTAAAAGAAGGATTTTTTGCTGTAGTTTCCTCTTATTTCTCATACTGTTTATTCTGACACATCTGATTACTTATCCAAACACCCTACATCTGACAAGAAAATTAAGCCAAAGACAAGTGGCTTACTAACTAACTTGTTGGACAAGCACACATTTTTTGCAAAGCAATCCAGCAGCTCTGCATATGAACCGAGAAAAATAATTATAGCAGCTTATATATACTATAAGGCACTAATTATTTGCCAAGGACAGTGCTGACCACTATAGAAATCTCATAACAATACAATCAGACAAGTAGTGCTATTCCCATTTTAAAGATGAGAAAATTTAGGCTGAGAAGTTAATAATGTGCTAACTGTGATTCACACTGAGAGTCTAAGTTATAGAGCCAGAAAGGTCACTGCAGCTTTCTTCAAAGTCCACACAGTAATTACTAGGGTCTCTCCAATGTGAATCAAATTTGAGGGGAAAGAGAGAAACCCATCTACTTCTTTCTTCTCTTTCTAAATCTAAGCCCTTGCAGTTTAGCATTACCTCCTTCATGATAGACAATCTCCTTTTCTCAAGATTAGAAATTTCTGGTTTCTGCTTCTTCCATTTTTTCTTCAAAGCTTTTTCTTGGAGCTCCCAGTGTACTAACGCTCTATTCTTCGATTTGTGTATTTCATGGCGACGTATCTATATAGAAAAAAGCATATAAAGGAATGTTTCAGGAACAAAGAAATCGACTACCTAATATATTTCATCTTTTTTAATTTTTTCTGATTCAGCATATGTATATTCATACATATTCACAACTAAAATTTTCAGTCTTCTGTAACTAGAACTACTAGATCTACCTAAAAGGACAAAACAAAAGGTTTATTAATTTCTACTTCCTTTGTACAGAACTATCCAACAAACTAGTGTTTTTCAAACTGCATGCTAGGACTCATTTTATGGGCGGTAAAAATAAATTAATGGGTCAAAACCAACATATTTAAAATAAAATAGAATACAGAATAGAAAATATTAAGACACATCGCACATAATAAAGACCTGTTTTATTAAATTTTTCAGTTACATACGTGTGTACATGTATAATTACACACACACACATACACACATACTGAGCACAACATAAAAGGCTTAAACCCACTGAGTCATCTTTGGCAAAGACACACCCATTTCATGATACTCATACGTCACTACCAAGAACTAAGAATGCAGTGTTTTTATAGCCCTGCGATGGCTGCATGTGGAGTGGGTCACTGGAAATGCAGGACTCCAGGGAAGTGGAATTCCTGAAGTGGAATCAGAGATATTGAGCCAAAGCTTAAGAGTTAGAAGGGAGGTGTTCACTGAGGGGGCTAAGGAATAAAAGCAGGTATTGATGACAATTACTCTAGTATTTAGGACTATAAATATGAACAAAACCTGTATGGCATCTGATAAAATGTACTGCTGAGTTTTCACATTGTAAATAAGAAATCAGTTCTCTAAGAGGCTAACAACCAAATACTACGTTGGGATTCTGATTCTCAAAAAACCAAATGAAGATGCCATTTTTAAGACAACCAAGGAAATTTGTATGTGGACTGGGAATTAGGTAATGCCAAAAAAATATTATTAGGTGTGAAAATGGCATTGTGGTTATGTAAGCAAATGTCTTTATGTTTTAAAATACAAACTAAATGCATTAGGCACAACGTGACATGTTCTCTGAGACTTGCTTTGAAATGCTTCGGCATAGTTAGAAAAGGGTATGATAAATGAAGCCATGATGTAAAATTTTAATAACATTATATCTGGGTGAACAGTAGATGGCAGTTCTTTATGATTTTGTCTGCACTTTCACATGAGTTTGAAATTTTTCATAATTAAAAAAATTTTAGTCAGTTGAGCATCATTCCTATCCTCAATAAGCATTTAATGAGCTACCAGGATTAAGATTCCTACATCCAGAAAGATGCGGAAGATATGGTTCCTATCTCTCAAAAGCACTAATTATCTGCCCAGGGAAACTGGTTACAAAGATCAATGATATGCATTAGCTGGAATACACTCAATGCCTTATGAAGGTAGTAAGTACAATAGTTCAGAAGAGATATCAAATGTTGGGCAGCTTCAAAATTAGGACTTCAAACTCACTACAAAGCTGTAATAATCAAGAGAGTGTAGTACTGGCATAAAGACAGACATATAGATCACTGAAATAGAATTGGGTGTCCAAACTAAGCCCTTATATTATGGACTGATTATCAAAAAGGGTGCCAAGAAAATTCAATGAGGAGAAAGCAGTCTTTTTAACCAACGGTGCTTAGAAAACTGGAGATCCATTTGCAAAAGAATGAAGCTGGACCTCTGCCTCACACTATATACAAAATGTAACTCAAAATGGATCAAACACCTAACATAACAGCTAAAACTATAAAACTCTTAAAAAAAACAGTGATAATTACCAGGGGCAGGTAGAAGAGGGTAAAGGGGGGATAAATGGTGATGAAAAGAGACAACTTTGGATGGTGAACACACCATACAATATACAGATGGTGTGTTACAGAATTGTAAACTTGAAACCCATATACTTTTATTAACAAATGTCACCCCAATAAATTCAATAAAAATTTTTAAAAAATAGAGGAATAAATCTTTGTGAACTTTGGGTTAGATAGGTTTCTTAGATATGACACTAAAAGCATAAGTAACAAAAGAAAAATTAGATAAACTACACTCCATTAAAATTAAAAACTTTTGTGCTTGAAAGGACATCATGAAGAAAGTGAAAAGATAACAAAAAGAGTGAAAAAAAAATTTGAAATCATTTATCTCCGAAGGAACTTGTATCCAGAATATATTAAAAAAAAAAACAAACTCTTACAATTCAACAATAAAAACACAAATAATTCNTATTTGAAATCATTTATCTCCAAAGGAACTTGTACCCAGAATATATTAAAAAAAAAAAACAAACTCTTACAATTCAACAATAAAAACACAAATAATTCCATTTTTAAATGACTAAAAGATTTGAATAGCCATTCCTCCAAAGAAGACACTATGGCCAATAATGACCAATAAGCACATGAAAAGATGTTCAACTGTTTGACATCATTAGTCATAAGGGAAATGCAAATCAAAACCACAATGAGATTCTACTTTATACCCACTAGTAGAACTAAAACCAAAAAGATGACAATAACAAGTGTTGACAAATGAAGTAAAGAAATTGGAACCTTCACATATGCTAGTAAGAATGTAAATGTTACAGCCACTTTGGAAAAGTTTGGCAGTTCCTCAGGAAGTAAAGTAATAGAGATACCATAGGACACAGAATTCCACTCCCAGGTATATAAACCCAAGAAAACTGAGAACATATTTTCACACAAAAACTTGTACACAAATGTTCATAGCAGCATTATTCATAAGTCAAAAAGTGGAAACAACCCGAATGTCCAGAATAGTGAAATTCATAGAGACATAAAGTAGATTAATTGTTGCCAGGGATTTGGCGAGAAGGGGTCGGGGACACACAGCAAATGACTGTTAATGGGTACAGAGTTTCTTTGGGTGGGTGATAAAAATGTTCTATAATTAGAAAGTAATAGTGTGGTGAAGTCTGGGGGAGGGGATGGGAGGGGGGAAGGAGGAAA